TGACTGATGCCGGTAGCCATCTGACTGCCAATTATACCTTAGTGGTGATTGGACTGAATAATCGCTGCCCTTGGACAGGGAGTTTCACTAGACTTAGATATAATGATTAAGTGTCCTCTCCAATAAACCAGTAAAACTGCACTTTGAATTTTGCCATGGTGTGTCCTTATTGAGCTATACACAAACAAAACGGTAGGAGGTCTTTTGGAGGGCTTTTGATTGATACTCCATCGTTAAGTCTAACATTTTTATTTCTTTGTGACTTGAAATTCCTGTCTTCCTAAATAAAAAATTATGAAATTAGCCAGTTAAATGTTTCAATTTTAAATTGTGAATTAAATAGTTTTTATGATGGAGATTGCTAACAGATTAGATCAAGACATTAAAGCGAAAGCGGATCGCTCTCATTAGGTAATTGGAATTCTCAGCTGGATCCAATTTCTTGACATTCTACTCAGCAGCTGCCCTAAAGTTGCTTACCTGGTATCTGCTTGAAAGTGTGTGTGTGTGTGTGTGTGTGTGTGTGCTCAGTGCTATTGAGTGAATAATTTATTTCTGGATATTCTTTGCAAGTGTGTTAAGCAGTTGAAAATATTCTTGCACACATGCAAATAGATTAAGAAGGAAAAGGGAGAGAATTGCGTTTAGTGCCATAGTCTTGACAGGAGATAATGAATAATTGGAGCTTGGATTTCTTAATAATCTTGGTTAAGAATTAAATTTTAGTGACTAAAAATTAAAGACATTATTCTTGTTATCTATTGTGGGGAACAAATAGTGTTTAGCTTTGTTGAATTTTGAGGGCAGCTTATAGTGCACAAATGCACATGTAAGGGGCATTACTACAGAAAATCCAGTGAAAGAAGGGCGTGGTTGCAAATGCCTGAGACCCTACACTTGGAGATTGAGGCGGAAGGAACAAAGGTTCAAAGCCATCCTCATATTCGTGGTGGGTCTGAAGCCAGCCTGGGCTCCTCGAGGCTGTCTTGAAAAACAAATTTAAAAAGCCGGGTATAGTGAAACATATACAGAAATACATTGAATTTAAAATGAAAGCTTCCAAATTATTCACCCTTTAGTCTGAAAATATTTAATGCAAGCATAAAACCCACCCAATATCTCTTAGTGCACTTTGCAACAAATTGTATAGGCTTCTTTTTCATTGCTCTTCATAGGTGCTTGAGTGAAATGTTTGACTCACCTTTATCTCTAAATACTGCAAAGAAGTGTATCAAAAAGTAATATGTTCATCACCTGCTCATAAATTTAGAAAAGATTTCATAGACTTCTCCCAAATTTCACAATAGCTGTTACTCGTTTTAAATTATACATAAGGCTCTGGACTTACTAAAATGTCATAAGGGAAACAAAAGCTGCATCCCCTTGTGTTAAGCTGACTGTCTCAAATATCACAGTTAAAGCTTCTCACAGGCTTCAGAAAAAAAAAAAAAGTGAACAATGTTGAAGGAGCTGCTCTGAGCCCGTGTGTGTGTGTGTGTGTGTGTGTGTGTGTGTGTGTGTGTGTGTGTGTCTGTGTGTGTGTGTCTCTGTGTGTGTGTGTACTTTGGTTTTGAGTGGTTACTGAGACATGAGCCCTGATAATACAAATTAAAGAAAATGAAAGAGACCTCTGGAACACCAAAACTCAGATTGACCTACTTTAGCATGGCCAAATTAAGAGTTGATAAAATAACATGAAAGTCACTATGACTATAGAGAAGGAGAGCAGGCCGATGAGATACTCATCCTTCCATTAGAGTAAGATGCTCACAGTTAACAATGCCTTGCTAATACATGACCGTGCCTGAAAAAGGCTGCAAGTCCTTTAGAATCATGGAGAAAATCATGGGCTTAGGAACAGTTTTTTCTTGTTTGGTCTGAAAGCTGCTTGGGCACCTTTGACAATTGCCGTAAGTGATGACAGGTGCCAGATTAAGACATCCTTGTTATTATCCAATTGTCTCTGGTAGGTGACTTTTTTTTAAATACAAATTAGTTGATTTCTCCCTGTAAGTCTCTAAATTTTAACTCAAAGACTAGTGCAAAAGCTGCGGTGATATAAAAGGAGAATCGCTTGGTAATGTGCCCTCAGGTTCTCCAGTTGCCCAGAGGAGAAGAACCTTCTATACTAGACTTCCCTGAAGAGGCCCACATAGAGGTGTGTGGATCAAGAAGACAGCACTATGCATGGTGAGAGGGGCATGTACAGTAACACAGATAACAAAACCTGGCTGGGTCCTGCCTAGACTACTTCCTGCA